CCCCCCACCCTGCCTTCTACAGAAAAAGACAACGTTTTCCCAGCTACGATCAGTTCTGAAGAAAGGTTACTGGGCGTGAAACATTAACTCCGATTTCTCTCCATAGATGCTGCAGACCTGCTAAGCTTTTTCAGCAATTTCTGTTTGTGTTTCTGATTTCCAGCATCCACAGTTCTTATGTTTTTTTTGTTAATCCAGAGGGCTGGGTAATAGTCCAGGGACCCAGGTTCAAATCCTGCCATGGCAGATGGTGGAATTTCAGTCCCACTAAAATCTGGAATTGAGAGTTTAATAATGGCCATGAAGCTGGTTTCAGGGATAAAACCCATCTCAGAGCTACATCACCATGCTGTGGAAGAGATTACAGGACTCTTGGGAGGATTACAGACGATTCAAAAGGATGGCAATGCCAAAACAGAGAGATAGACAGAGCCTGAACAAGCTTCACTCTGGAAAGGGGACGGGATGGAGACCTTCCAATATTTGGTTGGGTGGGAGTGGACACAGTGTGGGAGACCAGAACCAAGTGGATAAAATAGTCATCAATATCTTCACTCAAGAATTTGGGAGAGACCTCTTCATTCAGAACTAACCTGGCTAACTCCCGATCACAGGGAATAATGGAGGTGATGAATGCAGATGTATTGAAGGTGCAGATCAATTAAACATGTGAAGACAAGTCCAAAGATGTGCAGGTTAGGGTGGATTGGCCGTACTTAATTACACCATGGTCCAGGGATGTGTAGGTTAGGTGGGTTGGCGATACTCAGTTGCACCATGAGATAACAAGGTGTAGAGCTGGATAAACACAGCAGGCCAAGCAACATCAGAGGAGCAGGAAAGCTGACATTTCGGGCCTAGACCCTTCTTCAGAAAAAATGCAACTGCACCATGGTGTTCAGGGATGTGTGGGTTAGGAGGATTGGCCATGCTCTCTTACCGTATAGTGTCCAGGAATGTGTCAGTTAGGAGGATTGGCCATGCTCAATTACCCCAAAGTGTCCAGGGATGTGCAGGCTAGGTGAGTTAGCCATGGGAAATGTGGGGTTACTGGGATGGGAATGGGATGCTCTTCAGAAGGTTGGTGTGACTCGATGGGCCGAATGGCCAGCTTCCACGCCGTAGGGATTCTATGATTCGATGTAAATAGGACCAGAATCCTTCAATTTGAAAGAGGAAGTCATCTGGAGACAACCAAACCTTTATTTTCACAATGCTTCTCCGCTCCCTGTTTTTTCTCTTAAAGCAATGAAAGTCAATATTTACATTACTACGACTCAGCCACAACCGTCTGCAACAAACTGTGAGACTTCATAAGTCGTCTTTATGAGACACCAGCTTTCATGTCACAGATGCACAATGCTGGTAGGAGAAAGGAGAAGGAAAAAAAAATCAGAGTTCCTGTGAAATGTATGTGGGACACAAAGGCTGTGACTGCACCTTGAAGAATTTGCTGGTTTTGAACTGGACAGTTTCTGTCACCTTGTCATGCTGTTGTCTGTGTGTTTATACATTCACAGAGACTGAGCTGCAATTAGCTGACAGCTCAATCCAGGATTAAACAGAGCAGAGTCATCAGGAGATAGCGAAGCGCAGCATCAGGGCAATGTGCCGATAAAACTAACTGAAAGCAAACGAAGCAGTCCAAGCACAGGCTGGGGCAAGACAATCATGCTTCAGCAAATGTCCACGCTAAGGGCATTGTCAGAACCCGCCTCAGCATCTGCAGCTCATAGCCTGCGGGGTACACAAGGTGGCAGCGTCTAAGGAGTGCCAATGTTACAGACACAAGTCATGGCCAATGTGGGAATGTGGGAATCCAGATAGACCATTCTCCGTCTCACAGGCACTTTGCAATCCTGGCCATTTGTGAGACTCAGTGACAGATGGATTTGGTGACCATACAACCGGAGAGCAAATGATCTCCATCAGTGAGTCAACAGACCCAGAAACAACAAGGGATGGAGAACTTCCAGAGCTCCCTGCCCCACTGAAGCTCAGGGCTTCACCCTCCCAAGCATAGGCATCAGGAACATGTCCCAAAGGAATATTAATGATCAGACGCACTCAGCACTGGCTATGGGGGTGGGGGTGAGGTACAACAAAACAGAGAGAGGATTTCCCACCCTGATAAACCTGGCCAGGTCTTCACACGGGACATCAATTCCAGGTACCATGAGGTTCTTGACTACTTGTTCATCATGAGAGGGCTCACAAAGAATTCGAGAAAGACAGCACCTTCTCCAATCTGGTGAGGAACGTTACTTTCATTCAGATAGCCTGTTGGACATAGCCCTCCACACACAGCATGTCAATGACTGTCTACTGCTGGATACCAGCCAATCACATTGTCAGGGGGGATTGTTAGCCTTTCCCCACTCACTCAGGGTCGACAGAGTCTTGCAGAATTTCCCTTGTCCTTCAGTTCCCCAGTCAGGTGGACTGTATCAAAAACTCTGCCACGGGAATGCATGTGTGTGCATGTGTGTGTGTGTGTGTGTGTGTGTGTGTGTGTATGTGTGTGTGTATGTGTGTGTGTGTGCGTGCGTGCATGTGTGTGTGTGTGTGTGTATGTCTGTGTGCGGATGTGTGTGTCTGTGCCTATTTGTGTGTATCAGTCATTCCAGTCCGAGTAAGGGGGCTCCATGAAGGTGTCGGGAATGAACTTTACTCTCCCTTGTTTTTCTCAAAGAAGTTGGTGAGCTCCTGCTCAAGGAGCTGGTTGCGTTTCTCTGCCTCCTCGCGTGCCCTGTTCGCATTCTGCAGTCGGATCTCCAAGGCTTCACACTGCTTCTTCCCAATCTCCAACTGTTCATTCAATCGTACCACCTTAGCCCAGACTTCATAATTCTCCTTCTCGAGGCTGCAAAACAACAGCAGGATTGACTGTGTCAGTGTAACACACAGGGGCAGGAGAAGGGTGTCTGACTGTGTCAGTGTAACACACAGGGGCAGGAGCAGGGTGTCTGACTGTGTCAGTGTAACACACAGGGGCAG